GGCGCTTGCTGTCCGCGTTGTGTGGCCTGGCCTTGCATGTGGGATGACGCATGATTTCTAGGACCTTGAGGCGCATGGCGGAGGCCGGAGGGCGCGAGATTGGCTTGGCTGCTCCCTTTCCTTTCTTTTGCTTTCCAATTATAGCGTAGACTGTGTATAAGTAGAAGGCTAATACAATCAGAGAAGCTGCCACGGTTCGTGTGCAGCACCAAACCGAGAAGGTGGGCCGCGTCGTAGCGCTACTACTACGGCAGTCTAGAGATCACGGCGCGCGACGCTGCGCCTCGGCCTTACTCGTACGTGGCGGCGCTCCGCTGCGACGCGCGGGCCCGGAGGTGGTGGCCGCCGCGGCGACTGCGTACACGGCGCGCGTCCTGGCCGGGGGTCCTCGCGCCCGTGGTGCCCGGCTGCCGGGACCAGGCGGACGCGGACCAGCACGCGCTGCAAGAGGCCGTCGTGGACATGCTGCCTCTCGCCACCGATGCGCCCCTCCTGGCCGCGTTCCTCTGCCGCCTGCCTGCCTCCTACATGCTGCGGTCACCGAGACGCGCGCGACGTCGCATTCGCATTCGCGTGGCCCGTCGTGCACCGCGCAAGTCGCACAGAGCCTTGTCGACCGGCGCGGCAGGGAAACATGGCTGGGGGCCGGTTAAGCTGGGAAGACGAGGAGGTGGTGGACGACGACGACAACGACGAGAAGGACTAGTCCGAGGAGGTGGCGGGCTCGAGCGATGGCCGCTTGTCCCCGGTGACTGCGGCGGCTATGAGGGAGAGATGAGAGAGATACAGGAAAAGAAAGAGAAAGGAGAGAAGGGATGACAAGTGGGCCCATAGTGCCATGTCAACGTACAGTGTGAGTTAAGATTCATTTGGACCTACATGAAACCCGAAGCTAAGTTTAAGGACCTAGAAATAGCATTTTGAGAGTACAGTGTCATCGATGACATCTCGTGCTAAGTTCGAGGACCGACCACAAATTTTCCTCTTAATGAAGCTAGAATCTTTTACGGATCTTTGAAAACAGAATTCTCATCATGACTGTGTTAGGCATTTGTTGGTCTAGCTCTGACTTGTGTTGAGGACTCAACTTAGCCCTGGATCTCTTAGCCCACTAAAGATTTCCTAAGCTCAAGATATGCGTCCTTGCCCACAAATTCTATAAAAAGGGAATTCAAAGATAGGACAGTTGGATGTATTCTTCTTGTCCTAAAGTGGGTTCCTTATCACTGCATCAAATGCCCCACAAGAGATTGTCCTTACCAATATCTTTATGCACACCCTACTTTGGTTATCCACACCACCAATGCAGCTAATTTCTGATCCCAACTTCATTCCTTTTATTTATATCCGCGTTGTATCATTCAGAGTGATCTAATCCCCACATTCGTCAGTCTAGTCTTTCTTTTGATTCAACGTGAGCATAGAGGCGCCTACTTTTCGTGAATATGTGTTTTTTCTTTCGAAAGACAAAATAATGGGAGGAGCTGGATGGAGCATTAGTACTTTAACTAAAGAGTAAAGGCATAGTAGTGATTGAACATATTGCAGGGCTGGGTAACCCCTTTTCTCTTTGTAAAGATAAAGAAGGACTAATTAAAGAGCAAAGCAACATTGATTTCAATAAATCCGTGTGCCCGTGCTTTACTTCTACAGTTCCACCTTACTTCCACACGGAGCAGAGGCTCAGTCATTCAATACAATTCAATACTTCAAGCATGAATCAGATAACAAGTTCAACAACACGTACAAAAAAAAACAATACGTACAAAGCATACGCATGCATGACACATCTAATCTGATAATTTACCATGCGGAGATGGCCATGCTTGTTACAAGCGGAAAACAGAGCTGTCACTGAACCAGCGGCCACCGCTGGATGGCCCATCCTGCAGGGAGCGAGGCCGGTCAATGAACCAGCGGAGACAAACCATTGCTACGCCAGGTGCAGTTGCACACCGACAAGCGGTGAACTAAACACACATGGACCAATCAAATCATGGAAGGCACGCACATGTTGGCGAACGCGAAACTGAAGAGGCAGCAGGCACTCCAACTCCAGATGCATGCAATCGGCGTCGGCGGCGAGCAGGAATTATTAACGGGATGATGGCTTCTGTGGAATGGACAAAATAAGTAAAAATGATTATTGGAAGCTGATCGGGTGGATCAAAATAGTATACGATAGCTAATATAATTAATTAATAATGGAAACTGAAATCGCAAGACGTACCGATCGATTAACCGGATGATTTATCAATCTTGCGCTTTTTTTTATACATAAATGATAGTTTATATCCGGCTTCATCTACGTCAGGGTAGAATCAGGCCAATTATTATAAAGTTCGGTACAGCGACCAGCACACAACCCACAGGGATCACAAGCTTACAAGTAGACACTGGGAAAACAAAGCGGGAAGTAAAGTTCTGACTAATGAAGACCAATAAACCTAGTCGATAACCATCCATTGGAATTAAAGAAGTGCAATGCTGATGTCTCCAGATGCTGTCCAATAAGAATCAGCTGATCCCGTAGATCATTACGCCGCTGCAGCCTTGCCCATTGCCATAGCCAATGGGTTCCCCTAAATAGCACCTGCAAAAAAGTTTCCGGTCTGCATTTGTCAAAAACTACTTCGTTTCTTGTTAACCAAATTGTCCAACATAAAGCTGGCGTTGAAGTTAATAACAATGAATTATGTATGTTACCACCCGCCTTAGACCAATTAACAAATAAATCATGTATACTGAGGGGGTGATAACCCAAACATTAAGTGTACAGCACGCCACAAGAACTTAGCATAATAACATTGGAAAAAAAGATGTTGAATAGTTTCTGGATGGTGACAGAAGCAACATTTCGTATCACTATTCCAGCTTCGTCGTGCAAGATTGTTCTTGGTTAAAATCATACCTCTTTTTAAATACCACAAGAATATTTTTATTCTTGAAGGAATTTTGATCTATCATAAATCCAGTGACACTCTGACCCTATTGTTAATTAGTGCAGCATACATAAAGATGAATGTAATGCCCAAACAAACACATCCCTTTTCCCCTGTAAGTTCACATCTTGTAACGAGGCAACAGTTCTATGCCAATCCCTTAGATTTCTACCCCCTAAATTCCGGCGAAAGGAAATGTTCAGCGGGATTGATGCAAGTACAGTTGCCACAAAATCCTGCTTTCTTCTCACAATATTGAACAACGAGGGAAATTTATCTTTTAATGGTTGGTTTCCCAACCAGATGTCCATCCAAAAACGAGTTTGTGATCCGTCTTTTACTTTGAATGAACCAAAAGTCATGAAACTTTCTTTTACATTCATCAGTCCTTTCCAGAAGTGAGAGTCAGTGGGCCTTTTGGTACAGCTCCCTATAGTTTTATCTTTTATATATTTATTTCTCAATAATTCCTGTCACATGTCATCCTCATTTAACTGCTTGAAGAGCCATTTACTCATCAGGCATTTGTTTTGTAAATCCAAATTATGTATGCCTAAACCACCCTGTATTTTTGGTTGGCACATAATTTCCCATTTGGCCAGTCTATATTTTCGCTTGTGATGGTCGCTTTGTCAGTAGAATCTTGATCTAAAGCAGTCGATCTTTTCTAATACTCCTTTTGGGAGTTCAAAGAAAGACATCATAAACATCGGTAAGCTAGAGAGCACCAAGTTTATTAAGACCAAGCGACCTTGTAAAGAAAGCATCTTACCTTTCCATCCGCTAAGCATGTTTTCAATTCTGTTCTCTATTGACCGCCAATCTTTATTACTCAGTTTCCTAGTGTGCATAGGTAAACCAAGGTACCGAAAGGGAAACTTACCCACCCCACACCCAAACAACTGCAAATAGAAAACCTCATGCTCTTTTTCTTTACCAAAACAAAATATTTTGTTTTTATAAAAATTAATTTTGAGCCCCGAAAGTTGCTCAAACGTGCTTAGTATCAATTTCATGTTTACCGTCTTCTCAACATCATGGCTCATAAAGATCACTGTGTCATCCGCATATTGTAGAATAGACAAACCATCTTGGACAAGATGAGGAATGACCCCTTCTATCTGGCCTGCTTCCTTGGCCCTAGCAATTAGTATAGCCAACATGTCTGCCACTATATTAAATAGTATTGGAGACATTGTGTCACCTTGCCTTAGGCCTTTTTTGTCTCGAAATAGGAACCAAGTTGGTCATTCACTTTAATGTTTACATTTCCTCCCTGTGTAAACTGCTATACCCAAGAAAACCACTTCAGAGAGAATCCTTTCATCGCTAAGGTTTGTTGTAAAAAGTTCCATTTTACTTTATCATAAGCCTTTTCAAAATCTATTTTAAAGATTATTCCATCTTGCTTTTTCGAGTGGAGTTCATGAATCGTTTCATGGAGAATTACTGCGCCCTCCATGATGTTTCTTCCTGGGAGGAAAGCAGTTTGTGTTGGTCTAATGATCTTCTGGGCAACAGTAGATAGTCTATTAGTCACAACTTTGGTAAAGATCTTAAAAGAAACATTCAACAAACAGATCGGTCTATATTGTTGAATGACTTTCGCATCTTTCTTCTTTGGTAACAGAATTATAGTACTAAAGTTGAGACTATTCAAAGGCAGAGTTCCCTCATGAAATTCCATAAAGAGAGCCATCAGATCATCTTTTATTAAATCCCAGAAGACCTGATAGAACTCAGGTGGAAAGCCATCCGTTCCTGGTGCCTTATTGTATTCCATCTAGAACACCGCTGCTCAGACCTCAGACTCAGAAAGCACATCAGTTAGAAACTCATTTTCCAGATCAGAGACTTGAGGTATGTCTTGGACCTGGTGCTCCTCCAACACTATAGAAGAGCTCTCCGGGGGTCAAATAGGTTTTTATAATAGTTGGTAATATGCTGTTTTAGTTGAGCATCACCTTCTACTATATTGTTGCCACCCTTCAATTGGAAAATATGAGTTTTTCTATGCCTACCATTAATCAATCTTGCGCTTGGGCATGGTATATTCATTCATCTGAGATAGCTCTCGATGACGACCCGCTCGCGGCGCGAAGCGAAAGCTGGGGGAAGCATGGGCTTGTAGCTGCCATGGTGTGAGTATGTGCCATCCCAGCACAGCTTGTTCCACCAGGCCAGCTCGCCGCTCACCTCCACGGCCTTGTCTGGTTGTTGGTGGAAGCGTGGGAGGTGGCGCAAGCTCCAGCAGCCGCGGACGTGGAGCTGCTCCCACGCAGGCGCGATCAGCATGGGGTTGTCGACGTGGAGATGCTCCAGCAGTGGCAGCTCCTGGAGCCGTATCCTCCGGAGACACGGGAGCTTGTAACCAGCAGGAGATGATGGAGGACCATTGCCATAGAAAATTGCCTTGAGGTTGTAGCAGCACAGGATGTCCAGCGTCTCAAGGCTTGGTAGCTCACAATCACGTCGAACGATGCCCTCCAACCTCGGGCAGTACTCTAAGAAGAGGTGCTTCAGTGCATTGAAATCATCACCACCACTGTAGAAATGGGTTAGACTTCTGAGACGGGAGACATGCATTTTGTAGAGGTGGTACATCCCAGTTATAACTGAAGACCTGCACCATCTGATGGCACCGTCGGAGCATGCACTCCTCTAGCTCATCGAACCTACCATAATCACCCAACATGCTAATTGATTTGGTGACTCTCAGAAGATACTCCAGACCATCGGGATACCGATCAGCAGCTGAGATCTCCACGTGACGCTTGGTCACCCGAAAGGGAGATACGTTATCCATTGACACCATAGAGACTCCGTCTGTAAGATACAGACGGTTTACATCAGCGTAAGCTGGTGGTGCCATCTGAACCTTGTTGATCATCACCATGTCCTCTTCATCCTTTAACTTGCTGCTTGTGGACTTGCATGATGTAACTCGAACATAGAAAGTTGTCAAAAGTTCCCCAACCCTTACTGAATTCATGGTGTCATAACCGAAGCTATAAAACAATCTGGAATCACTTATGCACACCTGAGCACCTTGTGGATGATCCGAATGATTAATGGTTCTGTTTGAGCACTGATCCAAGCAAAACACATCCGGGAGTCTCTGCAGCTTATGCCAAGGAAATCGTCTCAGGGAAGGAACACCCAAGAGAAGCAATTTTCTAAGCTGTGGCAGATTAGGGATGCTGTCTGGGAGCTCCTTGGTAGCCGTAGCAGATAGATCAAGCTCCTCCAAAGCACCAACCTCCTTAATGTCAACAAACTCCAACTTTCTACATCCACGCAAGGACAGTCGCCTCAACAACAAGTTCTTGTTCTCAATTAGCTTCAGTGATCGAAGATTATTCATCTCTTCAAATATCTCCATAGGAAAATATTTTATTTGAGTCCCTGTGAGCTCGAGTTTTGTTAGACTAGACAAAGCACCAACGGAAGGTGGCAATTCCTCAAGGTTGGAGCACTTGACAAGCAAGAGCTCTTGCAGATTAGGCATGCTACAGAAGAAGTCGTTGTGGAATGTGTTTATATTTGAGTAGGAAAGATCAAAGCAGAGCAAGTTGAGATTTTTGCTGCTATTGATTTCATTGAGAGTAATTTCAGTGTTGGGGAAGCTGAATGGACTCGTGAGGTTAAAGCAGCCCCTAAGGGAAAGGTACTGGAGTTCTTGGAGGTAGCAGATTGATGAAGTGATTTTAGTGGAGTGTAGGAGAGATCAAGAGCATGAAGACAGGGGAGTTTGGCAAAGAAATGATCGGATTCAAGCTTCATGAGCAACCTTGATTGCTGTGAGCAATGCCTTAAAATGAGTGTTGTTGGGTCACTAGCTCCGTAGCTCAACCATCCTTGGTCTCCCACATGTGAGATCCACTGCATGTGTTCCAACCTAGGATGGTCTCCGTCGCAAAGTTCATCGGTTGTGTGGTGCTCTGCGATGAGGTTGTGACATGCTAGGAAGTGTGCAGTAGATTTTGTGGCTTCTTCAGCTTCAGTCGTCACAGGAGGAAAGGGGATCTCCAGCAAGGAGTACTCTCGGAAAGCTTCAAGGATGAGATTTCCAACTTGGTATATATCACTGTATTTGCCATCATAACTACTGCCTGTAGTCTCCCCCGTTCTTTCTGTGTCGATGACATGGATGCCTTGTGCAGACCACTGGCGTATCAGCTCATCTGAATGTCGGCTAATGCAGCAGATCTCTTCTGGCCTCCATCTCCATGAGGCGATGAACAGTGGGGGGGAAAGGAGCATGGTGACGTAGTGAAAGCACCGGACTGCCACGAGGTGCCAATATTGCTCGTCTTTGTGGGCGACCGCAGCCAAGATGTACTTGGCCGCTTGATGCAGTGAGTAGAGAGTAAGAATCACCATATCATCCCCACTAAAAGATTCGATTAGCCAAGTATAATCTGCTGGCTGGCTCCTTCGGTACACATCTTGAGTGGTGGTGGATACGCACCAAACAGAGCCTTTCCACTCAGGGGCAGGAAAGCATAAGCCCTCTGTTAAAGCATTAAGGTTGATGGGCTCGCCGAGGTTCTCGACCACCAGCAGGTACTTCTTCATCAATAGCTTTTGGATTAGCTTTTGGATTATTTGAGGTACTGCAGATGATCTTGAAAGCTTATGCCGTAAGGACGATGAACCTGTCGTCATCCTCTTCCAAGAGCCTGTCATCCTCTTCCAAGAGCCTGTCGTATTCTTGGTCGAGTAGCCCGAGCTGCTCCGCCACATTGAAGTGCAGCTTGTCATTAATGCTCAGCCTCGTTCCTGCCAGCTGTGCTGCTGCTCGCTTCATGTCCACCTCTATCACGTGGTCTTAGGGGCCATATCTCTTGATCTTTACGTCCCGAGTGATGCTTGAGATAGCTCGTGTGAAACATGCTGTGGATCCGACCCCAACATTCCACATCACCCAATTAAAGCCATCGAGTTTTTGCTCAAAGTCTCGATATGCAGGGTTCTTGAGATATCCATCCAGCCTGGCCGCACAAATAGAAAAAAAGGACCGGTTAAGTGCATGATCAAACAACTTTCGCTCTCGACGTATGCAGGGTCAGTAACTACGTACTTAGCTATCCTCTTTTTTTACACTCTCTTTTCTTTGCCATTATCACGTGGAGTCCTACATATAGTTTGCTTCTTGTTAATTAGCGAGAAATTTCTACTCCACGTGGAGTACGATTTTCAACACTCTGTGTGAAGACAAGTAATAAACACTTGGGCTGAAGTCGATACTAGATGTTCTTGTTCCTGAACATACAAAATCACCTTTTTTGCGCATGTTAATTTTATGGACAAATCTATTTCATGTTAATAATATTTCCGAGTGAAAATGCTCCCGTTGGTAGTAGGCATGCGAAAGATAAAGAAATTATTTTCCCAGTATCGTGTTATTCTTTTCTCTTAAAAACAGTAGAGAGAGTATATAGAGAGATCATTTCCCAGCAACTCCATCCTGAAAATATGGTAAGCAGAATATCTCACTCTGACTAAGGGTTGCATCATTTGTTTTACCTTGTGATATGTCATAAAAAAATTTATGATACCTTAAATTTCAAAATAGAGAGAGTATATAGAGAGATCACTTTCATAAAGTGCGAATAACAGAAGCTTTCTGTAAATTTAAAGAAAATATAGAAATATGTTAAAGATAACATACCAGAAGTTGATACTTCGTAAACGATCACGCCATAAATGCAATGTCTCGGTGTCAACAGAAAATGATGATGCCATGACTTAAGTTTATTTAGTAGAGGACCAAATTTCTCAGTTAACAATACCTGTGAGCAACAAAAGTATTTGCATGAGCTTATTAACACGAAAAGATGGCTAAAAGGACTCAAATGCCCATATAATACCAGGAATACTAGTCTATCAACCCGTGCTCTCGCACGGGCTAAAATTTTAAATGATGTACTATTAATATATTTTATTTGATTAATAAAAAAATTACTTATACTAAATTGTGGTTGATTTACCACGTACTTATACTAAAAGGACATCGCTATAGATTTTGTGGCTGGTTTACCACGTACTCCTAAAGGGAGGGATGCTATTTGGGTTGTTGTAGATCGCCTGAGTAAGGTAGCTCATTTTATTCCTTACCGTTCTACAAATTCAGCAAGTGACTTAGCTCCAATCTATATGCGTGGAATTGTGAGACTTCATGGGGTGCCAAAAACCATTGTTTCTGATAGAGATGCTAAATTTGTTTCCAAGTTCTGGGAGAGCTTGCAGAGTGCCTTGGGAACTAATGTGATACTTAGCATTGCTTATCATCCTCAAACGGATGGTCAATCCGAGCGTACAATTCAAACTTTTGAGGATATGCTAAGGTCATGTGTTCTGTCATGGAAAGGAAGCTGGGAGGAGCATTTGCCTCTTGTGGAGTTCGCTTATAACAATAGTTACCATGCTAGCATTCGTTGTGCACCTTTTGATGCCCTTTACGGAAGGAAGTGCAGGTCACCACTTTGTTGGGAAGCAGTAGGTGAAAAGGTAGCTCTCGGACCAGATTGGGTTCTAAGGATGACTGAGCGTGTCGCTGAAATTTGGCAACAAATGCTAGCTGCACAGAGCAAGCATAAAAGCTATGCTGATGTTAGGAGGCGAGACCTGGAGTTTCAGGTTGGGGATCAAGTACTTTTGAAGGTTTCTCCTAATAAAGGTGTAGTGAGATTTGGGGTTAAAGGAAAGCTTAGCTCAAGGTATATTGGTCCTTTTCCAATATTGGAACGTGTTGGAAAGTTGGCTTACGGATTGGAGCTACCCAATTCTATGAGAGGTGTGCATAATGTATTTCATGTTTCCATGCTGAGAAAATACCTACGGGACCCAGAGCAACATATGACCTTGGAACCAGAAACCATCAAGGAAGACTTGACCTTTGAGGCACGTCCTGTAAGAATTTTAGAGGAGGTTGATAAAGTCTTGCGATGAAGGACGCTCAAGTATCTGAAGGTTCTTTGGACTAATCAGACAGAGTGGGAAGCGACTTGGGAGCTCGAGTCGAGAATGCAGTAGGGCTCCTTTCCGGCTCCTTCGGAGAAGCTGTACCAAATGTTTTGTACGAGGAGACGTTTTTCAGTGAAAAACAGACGAGCCGGAGCTATTTTAGAGGAGCCCTCCTCATGAGGAGCCCTGCCAAACACCCCCTAAGTTGGTTCTACCATTTTTCTTGTGTGAAAAAAATCATGATAGAACTACCATATATTGTATTTAGAGAGTGATGTAGGGTCTATTTCATTCAGTTGTAGGCTAAGAAAAAACTGCTGTGAGCTATGAAAAAGCTATTGTGAGTTGCGCTGTGAAAAAGATATAGGTTGTTTGATTGAAATAACTATAAAACCTACTGTCGCGAGGTCAAAACCGCGGTAAGTATTGTTATTTGTCGGGTATCACAGAGTGTGAGGTCTCCTGTGGCTCGGGTAAACTCAAGAACATAAAGAACTTAAAGATCACATGGGGGACACAGAGGTTTATCCCGGTTTGGGCTATCGGGGCCCTATGTCCAGCAGTTTGATGATCTTTGTATTCAAGAGCACCCAAATCGGAGGGTTACAACAGAATATAAGAGAGAGATTTGGCAGGGGATCGCTTGGTGCAGATCCTAGGCTCGTCGACGGTGAGGTCTCTTGATGAGGAAATCACTCCTTCGGATGCACCCACTGATCCCCCAAACAATATGCAAGGTCTAATGACCCGAACTCGAATGCGCCAGCTAAATATAGAGGTGAGCTCGTTCTTAAGCGATCATTTTCATACTTTTGCCAATAGACTACAACCTAATGATGTTATATTTCTTAGGAACATTGGAGAGGGCCATGAGGAACTTGGAGGAAGAGAAGGAGGCAAAGATAACCAGCAAAGACGTCCAACACAAGCTGGAGGCCTAGTCCAACATGAATTTGAGTCTGCCTTGGCCTCCAGGACCAGTCTATCATAAACTGGTCACTCAGGACGCGTCGGGACTCCGTTTTCGACAATCCACATATGGATGGAAAGATAATTTCATAAGGAAATCAATGGAAGTGATCCCATGTCAAAATCCCTTCAGAATCAATGGGATTCATTGAAACAATTCAGCATCTAGAATCTATCAGGGTGTTGCGTCACCATATTTGGTCCAATGGGCCGTGTATCATCTTTGAGCCTGTTAGGGGGGGCGCGTCTAGGGCAGGCGACGACCCTAAGACCATTATAATCATATGCCACCGCCATCGTTAGGTTTTGGGTTTTGCTTAGATCATTCTGTCCATTGACAATAGCCGTTCATCGGTTTGTGAGACCCCACTTTGAGAACTTAATCATACAATCTACAGTTTGTCCTAGACTTTGAGCTGCGTACTTTCAAGTTTTTGCTTGTGTTATTCGTTTCGCAGGCAGGGATTAGCCTTCTTGGCAAGATCGACCGGATTGGTGACACGGTTGATAACCAGAGGAGTTGTGGAGCTAAGGTTGCAGGGTTTGGGTCTTTCGATCTAAAGCCGGATCGGTGTGTCGTGTTACGCCTAAAACGATAGTTATCATCAACCTGACAGAAGATCAAAAATCACATCCCCATCATCTCCCCCTCGTCGGAGAGGAGGAAGACGATGGAAAGGGTGGTGGAGCTCTCGATACTCCTCTCGGAGTGGATCTGCTCTCTGTGTAGAGCTCGAGCTGTTCGGTGGAGAGGACTCGAATGATCTGTTCTGAATCCTTCCCCTCTATAGGATCTGACCTCCTCTTATATATTGAGGTAGGTTGGATTCATGGCACTTTGAGGGTCTAGTGTTTGGTCTATGTGCGTCAGAGTCCACGAGGGGCTTGCATTTTGACCGTGAGGATTTGTCGACTTGGACTAGCCTCCACCAGGTGCACCTTCTAGAGTCTTCTTTGGTAGCGAAGGTGTCTGGCTTGAGGGGCTACCGAGCGGGCCTGAGGGCCCCAGAAGCTAGCAGAGGGGGTTTGTCCCTTTGTGTCATGCCTCGTACGTGACCCTGTCGGAGGAGAGGTTGACAATGATGCGCCTGCGGTGCGGCGTCGGTGAGCCCCTGGGCCTTGGGTGCTCAGAGTGCTTGCTTCCAGCCCGGGCCTTGTCTTGCACTTGAGGCTGGGGCCAAGGATCGGGTTCAAGCTCCCGTTGATCGAGAGGCTACAGCTCGGGCGAGCCTCCGACCCCCAAGCAGAAGGGGGGTACGTGCTCAGGCTCGGCCCAGTCCTTAGCCGGAGGGTGCGTGCGAGCGCACCTGAGGGGTGTAGCCCCTGAGAGGTCCTGGAGGGATCGGTCGGGGGTCCTTCGGTCGGGAACCTCTTACCCAGGGAGTTACATAGCCCTATGTTATGACCTCATCACCTACCACCATCTCTTTAACTCCCCTAAAATAGCTATAAAACGTCTCTCTATTCCCACCCACTTGGAAAAGCTGAAAGACAGAAGTAGAGTCCAAGGTGCTACGAAAATTATACTACACGAAAGCAGGTGCTTCTAGAAAATAGCTCTGGTTGTACTCATTTGGCTGGCTTTTTGCTTTTTGGTAGCAAAAGCACTTTTTAGTAGCTGAACCAAACATAGTTGTCGTAGTCTTTCTGTTAGAGCATGTTCAAAAGGCTTTGTCAAACTCACTCTCTAAATCATCAATTAAGGAATCATTTGAATAAAAGTTACTCTCTATATCTTTCCACCCTCTAGTAGCATCTCTATATTTTGTCTACACTCTAGAGAGCTAACTCCATTCTCTATCTTTTGCTAGTGAGAAATCTAGAATAGATGATGGCAACATTTGGAGATATAATTAAAGGTGTTGTACATTGGAGGGCATTTTTTCACCAAAACCTCTATTATAAGGATTTTTTTGAAATCGTGCTATAGCACGTGCTTCATTAAGTGGAATTGGGAAACAATACAAGCTCCATAGCCTTCGTCACGGCGAGATGCCGTTTGGGAATAGGGTCGCACACTGGACACAGATCACAGCCAGGCGGTGGAGACTAACAGCTGTACTAACTAAGTAACGATTGGCGCGACATTGCCTCTCGGAGTTGGCCGCGTGGGTCAAGTCTCCTAAGCGGTGAGCGACGCCAGACTCCCATACCCGGATATAATGAGGCTCTTGGTTTCTTGGAGTTCCTTGTAGTGGAGAGTTAGAAGTGTGGTTTTGGAGAGTGAAAAAGATGGAGAGTGATTTAGAAAGTCTATTGCACTTTTTTTTTGTTTTCTACCTTTATGATAAAGAGCCATGTGATGGGAGAGTCTCTTGGAGATGCTATTACAAGTTTTAAAAGGTACAATTAAGAAAATTATTTTGGTCTATGTCAAAAGTATAAATTAAATATTAGTATCTACTCCTATCCTACTAATATATATAATATCCAAGCATTAACAAATTATCTCAAATTATAAGGATTCTAAGTGAATTAACTCGCGCATAGTATTTATTAACGTCCCATGCCTCACTCACATGAGTACAGATCTTTAATGTCTATCGTGATCCAACTCCATGCTCAAAATATGGTAAGCAGAATATCTCACTCTGACTAAGGGTTGCATCATTTGTTTTACCTCGTGATATGTCATAAAAAAATTTTATGATAGCTTAAATTTCAAAATAGAGAGAGTATATAGAGAGATCAAGCTAGCGTTCATAAAGTGCGAATAACTGAAGCTCGCTGTAAGTTTAAAGACAACATAAAAATATGTTAAAGATACATACCAGAAGCTGATACTTCGTAAACGATCGCGCCATTCATGC